GCGAGCGTCGGCGGCTGGGACGTCTGTGAGGACGATCAGCCCTTAGAGTGCCACATGGGCATTGCAAATTGCAAAGCTGATAGAATGGGAAACTTGGCGGCGTCAAGACAGCCCGCCCCTTGATCCCAGCCCCCCGAAGGAGAGGACCCGGTGTCGCCGCCTTTTCTTAGCCCTTAGGGTGCACTTGGGGTACTGTAGTAACCTCATATTCCGGCAGCCTACAGCGGGCTCCCGATCTTTGACCTGAACTTCGGTTGTGGCGCGCGGGAACTTCTCGCGGCGGGAACTTCTCGCGAACATTCGTTGCAATTCTGTGCTAAGCCAGTTGTGTACTGCGCATCTTGAACGAATGCTTTATGGTAGTCATGCTGGTTTTGCAAGACACGAACCTCCCAAGTTCTGGAAATCTAGAGCCAGACAAAGCACGTGCCAAGACTGTGGTGGGCACTGTGCGCGAAATCTTTTGTGGATTTATATTTGAGGTGCTCTGCACGATGACCGGGGCGCTTGGCATTGCAGGAAAGCTCCTCGGAGGAGGAGATCAGAGTACTATGAGGGAAAACTAGCTACGTGTAGTATTCCCCAAGCGTTCCTTAATATATGCATGTCTTCTGTAAGTTACAGTACCATACCGTACCCAAAACTTATCCAAACTCTTAATTAAGGGTCCTGCACGATGGGCTCTTGGAGAGGGAAGGCCTCCTCTTCATTTCATGCCTTTCCGACTCGACCCTAGCAGCTATCACCTGCCGTCCTTGAACTTGTTCTTGGCCTGGTTAGCACTGGTGTGCAGAGTTGGAAAGTATAGGGTTTCAGAATCTCATGACGGTTCTAATTGCCCGAATTGCGGGTTCTACGAGGTTCGGATTGGGGTTACTCATACTTAACTCATAATGACTGGTCCCCACACGTAGGCGAGTGCGAAAGTACGAGCCTCAGATGTCTAACCCCCGTGAGTCCAACAGTCCAGCCACTCAACCTGAAGATTGGCGTCCCCAAGAGGTTGCAAATTAGAAGGCTAGACCCTATAAGCTTTAAGCCCTAAAGCCGAAAGCCTAAACCAACAATGACCACAACACAACTCAACTCCAACCCCACGCCCTGAAGCCCAAACCATAAAGCTCGCCTTGCGATAAACCACAATACGCTACACTAAACTATAATGAGCATAGTACACTATATAATGCACTTTCATATACTTTTGATATGCTTTGGTACTCTATAACACACTGTCATATCTAATGTTTCTTGTTTTATGCCTAGAACATACTGTAGTATACTATAACCTACTA